AGATATTAACATTAACAAACAGTATATACTGTATTTACAAAAATAAGAAATTTATATGAATATGTTATAAATCATTATCTATAGCTTTCTTATAAGAATAACAACTAAAGCATTCACAGAGGATTCCTGCAATACACCTATACGATTCCTTTAGGAAATCTATAGGATAATAAAGATATAACTTATAGGATTCCTATATAATTCTTATAAGACACCCATACGAATCCTATGGAAACCATATAGGATTCTTATACGATATCTATAGGGACCCTGTATTATTCATATAAGACTTCTATAAGATTCCTTTAGGAAATCTATAGGACTTCTTTAAGATATCTTTAGAATTACGAAAAGAGTTCTATAGGATTCTTATAAGACGCCTATATGATCCCAGAAAGAAATCCGTAAAATTCCTATAAAATATCTATAAGATTCCTAAAAATATCTACAGGATTCCTATATAATTCATATAAGACTCCTATAAGATTTCTATAAGGTATCTATAACCTTCCTATATCATTCATATAAGACTCCTATAAGATTCCAATAAGATATCTATAAGATTCTTATAGATTTCATATACGAAACCCATAGGATTCCTATAAGATACCTATATAATTCATATAAGATTCTATAAGGTTCCTTTTAGAAAATCTATAAGATTCCTTTAGGCATTCTATAGGATCCCTATAGGATAACTATAAGATTCCTATTTGTTTCATTTAAAAATCTTGCAGTTTTCCTATAAGATTTCATTAAGAATCTAATAGGAAACATATTAAAATTCCTATAGGATACTTATACGACTCCTATATGATTCCTATAGGATTCCCAAAGGATATCTATTGAAATAATCCTATAGGATCCTATAGATGTGACGAAAAATCTATAAGTTTCCTATAGGATTTTCTCTTATAGTATCCTATAGGACATTTTTGTAAGGGTATTGCGTGAAAAAACTGCCACCTAGCTGTTTGTTTTGATTTTATACCCACTATAAAAGCTTTGATTTGGTGACTAATTCGGTCTATTATAGTCCATTAATGGTCAGACTGTTTTGAATACCAAGGCCTATAAAAGACTTTTGGCCTACTGTATAGCGTACATCCATGCATAAGCACTGTAGCTTACACACCACTGAACTCTGTTTCGCGAGGGGTGGGGTGGTCTTGCATGCATATTCATGCATATCAGTTGACCTAACTGACCTAAAATAGCGCCCTCTAAAATTTCTGCTTAACTGTATGGGAAGAAAATAATGCCCCTGGCCCTCGGCGTCTGGGCCCTAAAGGGCCCCTGCCCAGGGGCCTCCAGCCCCTTCGTTACACCGATGTCAGTATGTAGTAGGTAAGAAGTGGAACGTATCACAAATATAATTATATAAATCTATATATTAATTCTGCTAATCGCCTCCGCGTAACTTCACCTTAATTTTGCTAATCGCCTCCATTGTAACTTCACCTATCTCCTCTAAAACCACTGGCAGGAATGTGATCATCTTCCATACACTGGTGGTGTTTATATATGTCACGAACACGATGTGCTACTTTTCTACGCTGGATATTGGATGACAACGAAAAAGACAGTCAAAAACCACCAAAAATGAGTACTTTCGCAGCCATGTTTCGGTTTTGTACCGTAGTGCTCGCGTCAACATAATATCGGCCCAAACAGCCAAATAAGAAGTTGCAGCTTCATTATGTCACATAGAAACTAAACCATCTCCTCGGTTGTGCCGCTGTGCTTCATGTGAACAAGATATCGTTCCAGGCCCCGAAATAAACAGTTTGATCAGTTCTGATCGCTTCTTTTCGCCGGTGCAGAGATGAGCAGCGTGTTCCACATTGTCGTACTGCATGCTGTGTCATTGCATTACATACTGAATTTAAATCGATCAGGTAAAAATAAAGATACGCAAGTTCTTCGTCTTCCATTTTGGATGGCCTATTCGTTTTTCTGGCTAAACCCCTGTGGGATGGTGACAAGACAGAAGACACCTGGCTATTAGTCAGAATCTGTTGCATCGAACTTTCCGGGGGTATCTGCGTACATGAAAAGTCGCTGTTTTTGCCGTCCGCTTGTTGGACCCCTTTTCTAAAGCAGCATTGATTCATTCATTATTTACATCAAATTTGTTTTTGTTTGATATTTTACAACTGGCATTATTGGCTTTATTGTTTTTTTTTTTTTTTTTTTTTTTTTTTTTTTTTTTTTTTTTTTTTTTTTATCTCTTTTTTTTTAACTTAACATTACCATGGAGGTATCTCAGTGAAAAAATAAAAAAATAACACATTTCTGATCATATACTTAGTTTCGCAAAATCGAATATATTACAGTCTTTTAGTAAGCAGTTTAGGTGCGATTGTGATTCTTTTATAAACCAATTGTTGCACCAGCTTTATTTATTTATATCAATGCAGACTCTTTAGTCTTACTGGATTTCAAAATTGAATTATTTGCCTAGTGGGTTCACCATTGTATAGCGCCCTCAATTTAATTTTGTAATTTATATCCATAGGTGTGAGGTTTTAAGTTATATTTCTATCTTGTTAGATAGATTATCCGGGAGACTACATAAATCCTCAACATGAATATATTATTGTTAAAAAGAATGTTTTGGATGAAATCTCAAATTCATTCTAAATTAAATACTAACTAAATACCACTACATTCAATTAGGACTATAGCATTTAAAAAGTGGATGTGTGTTTACTAAATTTTAGCATCAAGAAAATAAATTGTTCAGCCAGTTATTAACACGGTCGTTGGCTTCTTGTGTTGCGACTCCTTTTAGGTTTTAGATTTATCAAATTTTGTTTTAAAAGTAAGTAGGTTAGCTTTTAAACATAGGAAATTACCTCTTTAAAAATAGAATAAATTTTTGATACGGTACTGTCTAAAAATGTAGGATTCAGTAAAGTATTTTCTTTGAAATTTTTTCTTTTCTCACACTTTAGTGCCCGAAGAACCAGTTGTGACCTGTCCAGGTAATATCAATGTAGGTACATCTCCAGGGCAACCAACAGCACGTGCAACCTGGAATGAGCCAACAGTTACTGATGACATTGACACTGGCTTGTCAGCTATATGTACTCCATCTCCTGGGTTACCATTTAATGTTGGTTTGACTATTGTAATGTGTAGTTCAACTGACAGTAGTGGTAATGTTGGCTTCTGCACATTTACTGTTAAAGTCTTTGGTAAATGATTTGTCTATTAATGAAACATTACATAGAATGTGGAAGAGAGAGATGTTTTACATAGATGGAAAATGTAATGATGTTGATGTAAGATTGACACAATTTTGATAACAATCTCTATCAATATTAAATTTCATAACTATAATATAGAAGTATCCTGTCCAATTGAAACTCTATCTTTGATTATTTGGGCTCTGAAAGTAGCTTTAAAATTCAGCTAAGTATCTCAATTTAATCATACCATGGGCTTGTGTAAGGAAGATGTTGCTATGTAAAGTAAGGTGGGCTTATACCCAAACATCTTTTGACGCTATTGCATTTATTATTTATTATTTTTAAAATTCCCAATAGACTTTGAGAGTCCAAGCGTGACATGCCCTGGTGATAGGGTCTATTACCAAGCAATGGTTACCTGGAATGCCCCAATAGTCACTGACAATGTTGATACTGGTCTGTCAGCTACTTGTACTCTGACGTCTGGTTCATTATTCCCTGTTGGCAAAACGGATGTTACTTGCTCTGCAAATGATTCTGCTGGAAACACAGCTTACTGTACATTTACAGTGAGCATATTTGGTAAGTCCCTTATAATACATACTCTCGCCTCTCTTTCGAAGAGGCGAGGATATTACAATAACGCGCGCGTGTGTGCATGGCCGGTGGAACCGGGGGGCCCGGGGCCCCCCCCACTTTTTGGCAAAAAATATATAATGTCTGGAGATTTTTTTATGATCGGAAATGCAAGAAAGGAAGGAGCGAAGAAGGAGGAGAAGGATGGGAAAGAGAATGTTTATCCAGTACTCGTCCGAGTTACATTTTCTCGCAATTCACATTGGCGGATATGGGGAGGGGGGGTCATGGGTCCTGACCCCTCCCTTGGGCAACAAGAAAAAGGGGGAAAAGAAAAAGAATTCTAGACCTACCTTTTCAGGACCCGTGAGCTGATTTTTTTTTTTCAATAAATATTTAACCCTTATTAAGGGGACACTTATTTTTTTCATCGTGTCACAAAAAAGATGTGTATAAGAGAAAAGCCCATTTTCCGCCATCTAGGAATCAAAATTTTCAAGGGGAGAACCCCTGGACCACCCTTTCTTTTTGGGATTTATCGATTCATGGCAAAAAGAATACGCATGCAACTACTCATTTGTTTATGTAGGAATACACACATAAAATAAAAAATGAGGCAGATTAATACTTGACTGTTTTCAAGAGGGGAAAACCTTGAATTTTGAAGAACTTAAAATACATTAAAATACATTTCAGAAGTCAGGAAAGCTCATTTCCCGCCATCTAGAAATCGAAATTTTCCCGGGGAAAACGGACCTTTTCTTTGGAGTTCATTGATTATTTGCATCATTTTCAAGAGGGGGGGGGTGTGTGGGGCACCTTGAATTTTGAAGAAATTAAGAGTCATTAAAAGACACCTAAGACGTCGGGAAAGCTCATTTCCCGCCACATAGGAATCAAAATTTTCCCGTGGAAGAACCACAGGACACCCCCCCCTTTCTTTTTGGCCCCACCTTTCTTTTTGGGATTTAACGATTCATGGAAAAAAATACGTATGCCTATTTACTGTAACAACAATGGGGAAAAATTATTACCTTTAATTTTAAGGAACTTAAAGTCGGGAAATGCTTATTGCCCACCACTTAGAAATCAACATTTTCCCGGGAAGAACTCCAACCTCCCTTTCTTTGGGTTCATTGATTCATTATAATAATTTTCAAGAGTGGAAAACCTTAAATTTTGAAGAAATTAAAAGTAATTAAAAGACAGCTCAGAAGTCGGGAAAGCTCATTTGCCGCCTTCTAGGAATCACAATTTTCCTGGGGGAGAACCCCCGGACCCCCCTTTCTTTTTGAGATTTATCGATCGATTTATCGAAAAAAAAAATCGTATGCAACTACTCAATTTTTTTTGTAGGCCTATGTATACACATATATGGCCTATCTACTGTAATAACAATGGAAAAAATTTGCCTGACCGTTTTGAAGAGAGGAAAACCTTGAATTTTGAAGAACTTTTAAAGTCACTAAAAGATACTTCAAAAGTCGGGAAAGCTCATTTCCAACCATTTAGAAATAAACAATTTCCCGAGAAGAGCCTGAACCTTCCTTTTCTCTTTGGGTTCACTGATTCATTATAATAATTTTCAAGAGGGAAAAACCTTGAATTTTGAAGAATTTAAAGTAATTAAAAGACACCTCAGAAGTCGGGAAAACTCATTTCCCGCCTTCTAAGATCAAAATTTTCCCGGACCCCCTCCTTTTTGGGATTCATCGATTCATGGAAAATTCGTACGCAACTACTCATTTTAAAAAAATGTTTATGTATGTATACACACATAAGGCCTATTTACTGAATAACAATGGTAAAAAATTACCAGACCGTTTTCAAGAGGGAAAAACCTGACCGTTTTCAAGAGGGGAAAACCTTGAATTTTGAAGAACTTAAAAGTAATTAAAAGACACCCCAGAAGTCGGGAAAGCTCATTTCCCGCCTTCTAGGAATCGAAATTGTCCCGGGGGAGAACCCCGGACCCCCCTCCTTTTTGGGATTCATCGATTCATGGAAAATTCGTACGCAACTACTCATTTTAAAAAAATGTTTATGTATGTATACACACATAAGGCCTATTTACTGAATAACAATGGTAAAAAATTACCTGACCGTTTTCAAGAGGGGAAAACCTTGAATTTTGAAGAACTTAAAAGTAATTAAAAGACACCCCAGAAGTCGGGAAAGCTCATTTCCCGCCTTCTAGGAATCGAAAGTTTCACGGGGGAGGACCCCCGGACCCCCCTCCTTTCTGAGGTTCATGGAAAATTCGTATGCACCTACTCATTTTTTAACAATTGTTATGTATGTATACACTTAAGGCCTATTTACTGAATAACAATGGTAAAAAATTACCTGACCGTTTTCAAGAGGGAAAAACCTTGAGTTTTGAAAAAAATTAAAAGAAATTAAGACACCTCAGGAGTCGGGGAAAAGCTCATTTTCCGCCATCTAGGATGGACCCCCCCCCCTTTTCTTTTCAGCTTATCGATTCATTGAAAAAAGAATACGATATGCAACTACTCATTTTCTTAAGGTATACACACATAACAGGCCTATTTACTGTAATGAGAAAGTTTACCTTACCGTTTTCAAGCGGGGGAAAACCTTGAATTTTTAAGAACAAAGTCGTTAGACACCCAGCTCAAAAGTCGAGAAATGTCATTTCCAGCCATCTAGAAATCTAAATTTTTCCGGGGGAGGAATGTTGACCCCACCACCTAGGTTTGATTCCCGATCTGCATGATTCATATTCCCATTCATCTTATAAGTGGGCCCCCCACTTTAAAAAAACGTTCCGCCGGCCCTGGTGTGTCTGTGTGTGTTTGTCCTTCCGGGTGCATAACCAAAAAATACTGGACCCATGTACTTTAGATTTTTCCACATTGACAATGTTACATGTATTTCGGTCGTACTAAAATTTTGTGCTGATCAAATGTAAGATGCAGATTTAGAATGGTATTTATATATTTTCAGGCTGGAACCAGGCTACTAGGCCTAGCCGATTCGAGCTGAGCGACCGCGGGCCGACTTAAGCTGATCGGCCGATGGGCTTGCTACGTAAAACCTATGAAGCTAGGCCTTGCGCAAAAACTACTAAACCGTTTTACTTCACACATTAACAATTACATGTATCTTAGTTCATCTCAAATTTAGTGCTGATCAAAAGTAAGGTGCAGATTTTGAATGTTTCAATTATTTTCGAGCCGCACAGGCCAAACCAACACAAGCTTCGTTTGGCTAGGCCAAGCCGACTTCATTGGACCGATTACCAGCCAGAGTAGGGAGTGTGTCAAATTAGTTCTAAAAATTAAATATTTTCTTTCAAAAAATTAGTATTCTAGAAATGACAATTCTACATGCTTTTTCCACGAGTAAAATTTTTCATTATATCGGGAAAAATGCTTCAATTGTACAAAATGCTATTATTCGTTCATCACATTGTAATTGTCATCTCAGCAGATAATCTTCAGTTCAGATTATACATATACATATATTAAAGGGAGTTAGCAATTAACACTGTTGAATAAATATAATATAAATCGTCAAAGATACATATACAGTGTTTAAATAAGTCTTTAATATCATATATAATATACGACAGTATTTCTAGCCGTATTGCCAGATTTATCTGGCCCAACGCCCTCTTGAGGCGTAGCATTGTGTAATACAATTCAACCATGAAGACTTCTTGGTCTAGTGGTTATGACGCTCGCATTGTCAGCGAGAGGTCGCAGGTTCGAATCCCGTCGGGGGCATTTTATTACACAATGACTTTTATAGGACTTTATTCGTTGAAAAGCTACAGGGTAGCCTACGATGTTCCATCATGTCCTTATTTAAACACTGTAAATGTACCTTTGACGATTTATATTATATTTTATTCGACAGTGTTAACGGCTAACTCCCTTCAATATCATATATACGA